TACCATAGATTACACATAAAACCAGGTAGTTTTTTTTATAGTCCTGCAACGTATCGTATGTTATTGTAAAAACAGTATCACTACACCGGTATTTGCATCAATGATATAAACAAACAAACAGTGACTATTATTATTATTATTATTGTCATCATCATCATCATTCGATTTCTGCTATGGACACACTACCTACCAAGTCTGGTGGAAAGACCTAAGGCAGGTCGTGGTGTGTTGTTATATAATACATTTCATGTTAATTTTTTTTTTTTTTTTTTTTTTTATCCCGATGAAGTTGCTATTAGCGTTACATAGACAAAGTTCTCCTTAGTGTGTGTGCTGTACTTAATAAGACAATTTTCTGTATGTCTCTTAAGCTGGGGTTTCCAGGGATTCTTTCAATGTGTTGTTTTGTTCCATTTTTTATAATTCCAAGTGCACCTATTACCACTGGTATTATTCTTGTTTTCAATTTCCACATTTTTCTATTTCAATTTCCAGGTCTTTGTATTTTGATAGTTTTTCAAATTCCTTGGTTGCTATGTTACAATCCGCTGGACAAGCCATATCAATTAGTAGGCAAGTTTTTTCTTTCTGGTTTTTTGACAATAATGTCCGGCCTATTTGCTTCAATTTTTCTGTCTGTGTGGATGGTATAATCCCATAGAATGGTGACATCTTCTATTTCTGTAACCGGCGCTGGCCGATGTTCATACCAGTGTTTGCTTACATTTTCCAAAGTGTTTGCACATTGTCCAGTGTAAGTATTGCCCCACTCTATCGTGACGATTTTTATATTCATTTTTGGGGCAAGTATAGAACATCCTGAGATTAGATGGTCTATTGTTTCTTGGTATTTGTCATTTGCATTTTGGATCCATATTATTATTATTATATTATTATTATTAAATTATTATTATTATTATTTTATTATTTTTATTATTAAAATTTATTTTTATTATTTTTTATTATTATTATTTTTATTATTATTATTTTTATTATTATTATTATTTTTTATTATCATTATTTTTTTATTATTTTTTTTATTATTATTATTTTTATTATTTTATTATTATTATTATTTTTATTATTTATCATTATACTTTTATTATTATTATTTTATATTTTTATTTATTATTTTTATTATTATTATTTTATTATTATTTTTTATTATTATTTTTTTATTATTTATTATTTTCTTTTTCTTCTTCTTCTTCTTATTATTATTATTATCTATTATTATTTTCCTTTCCATGTGACTGTTCTTGTTTATTTTTTGTTTTCTGTATAAAATTACATATCTTTTTGTCCACGATTTATTTCGAAGAGCGAGGATCGAAAATTGGTTTCTCAGTATTTTGCTATTTGCTTGTATTATTATAAACCAATTTTTACACATTCATAGTGTTTTGACCCCAGTTTGAGGGTTAAATATTTGTCCTAACACGTGCTACCACACCGGGTCAGGATGGACATTGGAACACCAGCAATTTAGAGGTGGTTCCACGCTCCTCAAAACCTCCTGATCAGAGGTCTTGCTGCTGGACGTAGTTTATCGTCATACCCAGGACGCGGATGTAGTTTATCGTCATACCCTCGACGAATTAAGAATTTAATTCAAATCCAGGAATAAATATATATTTCTAAAAGTAATAGAAACTATCGTCACAAAAATAACTAAATTTCTCATCCCCAAAAATTCATTATATATATATATATATATATATATATATATATATATATATATATATTCAAAGTTCGACAATTATTATAAGACATTTTTTATTGTTATACATTCTTTTTTATAGGTACAAATACCTAAGTAAATCCTCTGTTTATAATAAACAGTATGTCTTTTTTTTAAGTAGCAACTTTCCTCAAAGAAACAGTTCTTTTCGGATAATTCATGGCCATAAAAAATTATAAAAGTTTAATCAAAGCCTTTCATTTTTTCAAATTAAAATGAAATAATCACATTAATATAAAACTTAAATAAATATAAACAATGGAATATGAATTAAATATGAAATGTTCACTCGATCGTCGTCGCACGGATACAGATAATTATTAATTAAAATCGATCAAGGAGATCGTTTCTATCGACATATCCTTCCTCCATTTTCTACCTGCATATTTACATACATAGACATTATTTACATTAGTCGGACTATTGTCCTCATCTTTGTCGCCATATTTGTCACAACGTTTCGGCCGTTGTACGCTCCGTCCTTCTTCAGGTGGTTGGAATTTCGAACTGAACCCTTTATTTCGATCGCTGGGGTAGACTGTTCTAATTCCATGTGCCATGTTTGATGGATGTCAGTTATCAGTTATCTCCTGCTAATTTTCCCTCTGAAAGTTCTCCACTGCCTTAACCAGGAATTGAACTCTTTTCTGGACATAAATTATGTAGAAATTGCCCGAATGTTTTTGATGTCCGTTTATCAAAGAGATGTTTTTTTCGCACTATATCAGTTTCATCTTTTTTCAAGTATCGCGTCTTCACACGTTATTTCGGTACTTTAAAATATCCCGTTTTTACGCTTCATTTCGTGATTGTGTGTCGGAGTCTCTTTGGTTATAAAATATATTTAGTATATGTATAGTTAAATTGATAAACAGTCATTGATGCTTGGTTGTTTGTTCAACAAACCATATAATCACAAGGACAAGGGAGTACTACACCCATCTAAGATAAAGACATTAAAGTTTATGCAAAAGGCGTACCTAAACTGAAAAGGCACAACGTACACCGTAATCCAGTCTAGGAAATCTGATACCAAAACTACCAACGTTAGAGATAGAAATATCCAGAAATATCCAGAAATATCCAGAAATATTTAAATAATATTTTTTTAAATCATTTCACCCACCAAAAAGATGATAAAGTCACTAAGGCACAAACGTTAACGAGAGTGAAAGGAACTTTTTTTAATGTCGACGAACGCACGTTGCCACTTTTGTAATATCGGCGAATACTCGTTGTCACTTTCGTAATGCTCGTTGTAGTAGAGACTTTGTAATCGCAGTTACAACTATATTAACGCTGTTGAGCATTACTGGTGTCAGATGAATAGCACTAATAGTACTTGCTCGATACTACTCACTCGGATAGTAAACACCGAATAATGATCCGAATAGTAATCTGTATAGTGAGATATTCACTCTCCACCCCAAGGCCGAGTTTATTATGGAGTATCCGAGCCCGTAGACTCGGCCAAAAAATCACAGTAGACCCCGTACAAAACGGGGTCGGTTAGCTGTCTACCACCCACAAAGAACAGGATTCAAGAAGATAGAAAAGTGCGATTGACGTTGTATTGAAATTTTGGAAGATTGTGTGCGGCAGGTAGGCAAGAAGCTTGAATAGACTTCCATAGTCGAGAAAAGAAATAGAAATTACGATTACATCTAGCTATTTCAGCGGTAAAACAATGGGTCTTACGCGCGCTGATTGTACGACTCGGAGTTTCATGCTCAATGCAATCTTCAGGTGTTGTGAATAGACTGGCTGTTACGTAATTGTAAGTGTATCTAGTTATCGCAATGTTGTTTTCGTGTTCCTGGTTAATATTAATCACCACAGAGATCCTCCCCTGCCCTCCATTAGAATCTCTGCGGTTGCTCGGTATCACGTTGACGGCTGACCTGAGATGGAACATATACATTGAATCAATTGCTTCGTCCACCGCAAAGAAATTTGGCTCCCTGTGCCGCGCCAGGAAAATTTTCTCTCCGGAATCAATCCTCCAAATCTACAAATCCACAATTCGCCCTTGCATGGAGTATTGCTGCCATATATGGTCTGGTGCCCTTTCTGTTTGCCTCGGGATTTTTGATAAAATCCAAAGACGGATATGCAATATAATTAGCCCTGTTCTGGCATCTCGTCTACAGTCACTTTCTCACAGATGCGCCGTCACCTCTCTCTGTCTGTTTTACAAATGTTTCATGGCAATTGCTCTGAGGAGCTGCATTCGCTGGTTCCCAGACTTCATGAGTTCAAGCGCCCTACGAGGCTGGCACCCCTTCACTGTCGAAACTCCTAAATGTAGCCGTCTCTTCTACTCCAATAGCTTCATGTCTCACATCTCTCGCCTGTGGAACTCCCTTCCCTATTCCAGTTTCCCTGAGAGCTATAATCTCCAGCTATTCAAATGTAATGTCAATCGACATCTCCAGTTGCCTTGATCTATCCACTACCCTTCTCCTCATCCTTTCTTCTATCACTCCTATCTGATCCTTGCTCTAAATTTTCTGTAACCCCTTGTCCTAGTGGCTTCCCGCCTTGCTTGGGGTGAAATTTAAAAAAAAATTATTAATATACGAACACGGTCACAATTAACTGTGCTCGGCAAATAAAACAACTCTGTAACTCTAAAAAAACACACACAACCCATACAACCAATTAAAAAGCAAAACTAAAATCATCCTTGATAATGCAGAAAGCACTCAGAATTATAGGGCATTTGGACAGTTTCTACACACTCTGTGTCCAAAAAAGAAAACACTTGTTCAAACACAAGAAAAATTACAAAGAAAAAGCTTAAGCGTAGCATCTTGACTGTCGACATTTAATGAAACATGTATAAATGAAGGATTGCTGTCTAATTGCACAATATATGTGTGTGTGGGTGTGGATGTGTGTGTCTATTTACTTATAACTGAGTAAACTCCTACTAAACTTGTTTAAATCCTCTTGTGATAGAAAAGGGAAATCCAGTCCAGTTTCAAGTTGAACTTGGAGCACTTAAAACGGCATTATCAAACATTTGTTTTTTTTTTGTTTATCTTCTCAGAACGCTTTCAAAAGGTTGAACGAGATTTGAAAAGCTTACTTTAAATAAAATGTCGCACCTTTTCCGGCAAAAACAGGCACGAAAACGAATGATATATATATATATATATATATATATATATATATATATATAAATATATATATTTTAATTTGTATATAATTATTATTTATCATCTATTTTATTATATATATTTAAATTGATATATCTATGTATCTATCAGACTCTTCATATCTATCTCAGTCAATCCCTATCTATCTATCTCAATCCATATCAATCTATCTCAGTCAATACCTATCTATCTATCTATCTATCTATCTATCTATCTATCTATCTATCTTAGTCAATCCATATCAATCTCAGTCAATACCTATCTATCTATCTATCTATCTATCTCAGTCAATCCATATCAATCTCAGTCAATCCATATCAATCTATCTATCTATCTATCTATCTATCTCAGTCAATCCATATCAATCTCAGTCAATACCTATCTATCTATCTATCTATCTATCTATCTATCTATCTATCTATCTATCTATCTATCTATCTCAGTCAATCCATATTAATCTCAGTCTATCTATCTATCTATCTATCTATCTATCTATCTATCTATCTATCTATCATAGTCAATCCATATCAATCTCAATCAATACCTATCTATCTATCTATCATAGTCAATCCATATCAATCTAATCAATCACATTTTCTATCTATCTATCTAAACTATCTATCTATCTATCTATCTATCTCTCTATCTATCTATCTATCTCTATCAATCCATATCAATCTCAGTCAATATCTATCTATCTGTCTATCTATCTCAATCCATATTAATCTCAGTCTATATCTATCTATCTATCTATCTATCTATCTATCATAGTCAATCCATATCAATCTCAATCAATACCTATCTATCTATCATAGTCAATCCATATATATCTCAATCAATACCTATCTATCTATCTATCTCAGTCAATCCATATCAATCTCAGTCAATACCTATCTATCTATCGATCTACGTATCTATATCGATATATCTATCTGTATCTATCAGCTCTTTATATCTAAACACTAACACACGTTAGCAATAAATAAAGGCAATTCCTTGATTTAAAGACGTTCTGATCGAACGTCTTCAAATCAAAGAATTGATAGAATACAGGTCGTTTAAAGTGTAAACTCCGTGTACTATTTTGTTCTTATCGTTAGCATCTATATAAAAAAAAGGCGCCAGACTTTACAATCACACCCATTTATTGCCCTTGGTGGAGAATTCACTAATCTCGTTTAGGTTCGCCTTTTATTGTTTTTTTTTGTTTTTTTTTATATAGGTTCTGTTGTTTCTCGTACACGCCCTAGCGTACCTGAAACGTACTTACAATAGCCCCAATAAATCTTTACTTAAATTTAATTTAAATATATAAATTTCAGGCACGATGATCATTTACACGTACGGTCGACAGATATCCGCCATTGACAAAATACAGACCGTGAAAATTTAATTAAAATAATGAAATATTACGTGAAAACATCCGCATAGATTCCAAGACGAGTAATTTGATCTACTCTGGTCGGTCAAGATAAAAAAAATGGCTGTAAGCAAAAAAAGTGCTGGAATGAGGAGAGAGCAGAAATGTGGTTCTACAGAAGGATAGTGAGAACTCCACGGACGGAGCGAGTAAGCAACAAAGAAGTCTTAAAGAAAACAACAACGGAAAGAATACTTCTCAGAATCAGGAAAAGACTGTTGAAATCTCTTGGAAAAATAATGAGAAAGGAGGGCTTGGAAAAATTAATCCTCACGGGGTTTATTGGAGGCAAGAGAGATCGGGAAAGTCAGTGAGTCACTTGTCTGGGGACTATGGGTGAAGGGATGTCGGAACATTGAAGATTAAAGGCCTTAGCAGGGGGGGGATATATTTGGAAATTTTAGAAAGCTATGTCCCGAAGAAACGCGGTGCATAGAAGAGGAAGAAGAAGAAGAATAGGACGAAGAAGACGTAAATAAGAAGAAAATGAAGAAGAAGGGGGGGGGGAAGAAGAAGACTAAGAAGAAAAAGAAAACGAAGACGAAGAAGAAGACGAAGACGACGATGCAGAAAACGAAGAAGAAGAGGAAAAAGAAGAAGACTAAGAAGAAGGAGAAGAAAACGAAGACGAAGAGATGATGAAAAAAACGAAGAAGAGGAAAAAAGAAAAAGACTAAGAAGAAAACGAAGACTAAGAAGAAGAAGACGAAGAAGAAAACGAAGAAGAGGTAGAGGAAAAAAGAATACTAAGAAGAATAAGAAGACGAAGACGTAGAAGAAGAAGACGAAGAAGATGATGAAGAAAACGAAGAAGAGGAAAAAAAAGAAGTCAGAGTAGAAGAAGAAGACGATAAAGAAAACGAAGAAGAGGAAAAATGAAGACGAAGAAGAAGAAGAAGAAGAAAACGGAGACGACAAAGAAGACGATGAAGAAAACGAAGAAGAATCAAAAAAAAAGAATCTAAGAAGAAGAAGAAGAAGAAGAAGAAGATTTTGAAAAAGAAGAAGAATAAAAAGAAGAAGAAGAAGAATAAGAAAGAAGAAGAAAGAAGAAGAAGAAGGAGAAGAAAAAGAAGAAGAAGAAGACGATCCAAAAAATAAGAAGAAGAAAAAAGAAGTCTAAGAAGAAGAGATTAAGAAAACGAAGAAGACGAAAAAAAGACGAAGAAAAGAAGAAGAAAACGAGACGAAAATAAGACGATGAAAAAACGATGAAGAAGAAAAAGAAGAATAAGAAACAGAAAGAAGAAGATTAAGAAGAAGAATATGAAGAAAAAAATGAAGACGAAGAAGAAGAAGAAGAAAAAAAAAGAAGAAGAAGAAGAAAGAAGACAAAGAAGAAGATTGAAGAAAACGAAGAAGAAGAAAAAAAAAAAAGAAAGAAGAAGAAGAAGAAGAAGAAGAAGAAAACGGAGACGAAGAAAAAGACGATGAAGAAAACGAAGAAGAAGAAAAAGAATCTAAGAAGAAGAAGACGAAGAAGAAAGGAAGAAAAAAAAAAGAAGACCAAGAAGAAGAAGAAGAAGAAGAAGAAGAAGAAGAAGAAGAAGAAAGAAGAAGAAGAAGAAAAAAAAGAAGAAGAAGAAGAAGAAGAAAACGACGAAGAAGAAGAATGAAGAAAACGAAGAAGAAGAAAAAAAAGTCTAAGAAGAAGAAGAAGAAGAAGAAAAAGAAAGAAGAAGAAAAAGAAGAAGAAGAAGAAAAAGAAGAAAACGAAGAAGACAAATAAGAAGAAGAAAAAGAAGAAGAAAAAAAAAAAGAAGAAGAAGAAGAAGAATGAAGAAAAAAAGAAGAAAAAAAAAGAAGAAGAAGAAGAAGAAGACGAAAGAAAAGAAGAAGAAAAAAAAGAAGAAGAAGAAGAAGAAGAAGAAAAAGAAACGACAAAAGAAGACGATGAAGAAGAAAAAGAAGAAGAGGAAAAACGAAGAAGAAGAAGAAGAAGACGATAAGAAAAAAAAAAGAAGAAGAAGAAGAAGAAGAAGAAGAAGAAGAAGAAGAAGAAGAAGAAGAAGAAGAAAACGGAGACGACAAAGAAGACGATGAAGAAAACGAAGAAGAGGAAAAAAAGAAGTCTAAGAAGAAGAAGAAGACGAATGAAGAAAACGAAGAAGAGGAAAAAAGAAGACGAAGAAGAAGAAGAAGAAAACGGAGACGACAAAAAAGACGATGAAGAAAACGAAAAAGAGGAAAAAAGAAGAAGACTAAGAAGAATAAGAAGAAAACTAAGACGACGAAGAAGAAGAAAAAAAGGAGACGATGAAGAAGAAGAAGAAGAAGAAGAAGAAGCTGATGAAGAAAAAAATGAAAAAGAAGAATTTTGAGTACAAGAAAAAAAAACGAAAAGAAGAAAAAGAAGACAAAAACTAAAAAAAAAATGACGAAGAAGAAGAAAAAGAAGGAGGAGTCGAAGAAAACGTAGAATAAGATGAAGAAAAAGTCGAAGTAGAAGAAGAAGAAGAAGATACCGTCTGGTAAACACTTGAGAAAAACTCAATTACCATGAAGTCTTGACTTCTCCGTTCACATATTTTACATCGATAAACACTCGACCTTTCATACTAAGCACTCTACCTTATAAATATCATAAATTATATATATATCTACATATATATATATATATATATATATATATATATATATTAAAAATGGACAAAGTCCGACAATTTATTTATTAAAAAATTTTTATGTTTAACGTTGTTTTTATAGATATACAAGTATTTAAGCAAATGCTCTGTTTATGATAAACAGTATTAAATAACATTTAAAAAGAAAAAGATGTCCTAAAAAATTTTCATAAAAAATTCGTTTTTGACAGGATTCGAACCTGCATCCTATACTAAAAAAGATTTACGCTGACATGCCTTACCTCTGGGCCATAAAGAACCTTTCGGTAGACACGGTCGAATAAGACACGTCAGCGTAAATGACGGTTCTGATTAGATGCAGGTTCGAATCCTGTCAAAGGACAAATATTTTCTAAAAAAAATTTTCTTAGAAATTCAAACTTTCTAAATGTTTTTAAATTATATATATATATATATATGTAAAAAAAATGTGTGTGTGTTGTGTGTGTGTGTGTGATAAAAAAATTCGTATTCGAGGATATCCGTATCCCTATTGCAGACTTCAAAAGGCAATTATTTATGACTGTTCAACACCCCTTTTTTAAAAAGTTGACCGAGAACCATTGAACCGATCAAACTTACTATTAAGATATGAGTAAGTAGATGTGTCAGCGGCATAGATATCTGGCTGAGATCTGAGGAGTCATTTATGAAATTAAAGAACACCGTAGGTCCAAGGATAGAGCCCTAGGTGACACCTGCATTAATGCAAAAAGATCAAGAAGAGTGGCCATTCAAGGCGATATTGATTACGCGATTTCATACCCTAGAGCGGTGTATTGAGTTGTCTGTCTTTCCAGCTTCGTTAGTAGTAGCTTTTACGTACTTTTATTTTACTAATGTCTAACACATAGAACGCCAAGAGCCAGTCCAAGGAGAAGGCTACTGAAGGGGTTTGTTGTACGAGCGAGAATAAGGTTGAAAGAGACACGGTTTATGGGGATAAAAGGAGAAGGTAACGGTTTAGCTTAGACTAGCAGCAAGGCCCGGCGTTGACCGTGCTTGATTCAAAAATCGTACGACTCAATCACATGACTTAAAATATTTTTACCCTTCCTTGTGTTTTTGGGGTGCCCTTGCCGTGCTGATGTTGTTATGCCTTACCTTACTATTTTAATTATCTCACACTGCGAATTTTTTAAACATTAAATCTGTTACGAAAAAAGAACTAAACAAAATGAACACAAAACGATCAGCTTTAATAAAAGGATTTGTAACTGGAAAAACCGAATGAAAAAAGAATGTTAACAACAAAAACTTTTTCACACGCAACCCAATTCTGCGAATTAATCAAGCGAATGAGCCAATTGGAGTAAAGTGCCATGCAGATCTAAATTTTTCCCACTTGTGACGAATGCAGCTATCGATTTTTTTTTTTGCATGCTAGCATGCTCGTTAACATTCGTGTCAGTCAGCTGTTGGCTCTCACGTTGGCCAAGAGAATCTGCCTGCCTATTCGTGGCAATAATATTGTCCCTCACTTTGGCCAGTAGAAAATGGCCGCAAAATACATGAAAACTGCCGTAGACGCATGAAAAAATCGATTATTTCCACTATCGATGGGAGTTGGGAAATGCAATGTCAGTCTTGGGCTTCCCGCTAACTTGGAGCATGTGCATGTAAATTTTGGTACAAATCCGTCGAAAACTGCGGCCGAGCATTCGTTACACACACACACACACACACACACACACACACACACACACACACACACACACACACACACACAAATCCTGCCTTTTATAGATATATATTTGTGTGTATTGATTGTAGTAGTCTGGGAAGTAGCCTCTTAGGAGCCGGTCCCACAAAGTTGCGGGTCATGGAAAGAAGCTATTCTCACTAATAGGATACGAGGGGAATGCGGATGTCACACCTTAGAGTACATAGTCTGCAGGGTCATATCAGCGAGGTTTAGAGTTGGTGGAACTAAATAACTTTTTTGTGAAATGCTTGTACCATTTAGTCTATGGAAAAGGGGTTGAAGTGTAAAACATAAATCATCACCTACAATACATTTTTGTCTCTATCAAGATTGAAAAATGAAGATTGGGTAGCTCCAGACCATATATGGCAGCAGTGATTCACTTTCAGCTTGACCTGGCGCTAGTAAATGAGAGCAGGGCCGTTACTGAAGCAGTACAGGAAATAGACCATTATTCCAGGATTTTTATCGATGGATCGTATATACGAGGTTAACTTGAGGTCTGGGGTGATGAAGCACCTATAGGCGCTAGAGACCTCTCTAAGGGAACCTACGTTCTTCGAGATAGACGAAGATCCAGCTTGGTGTTGATTGTATGTTTTGTTTTTGGTATTGTATATGACCAACCAGTTTTAGGCCTATTAACTTGTTCATCATAATCATCGTCAACATCCTCCTACTTCGACCTCCCTGTGGCTGGTCGGAACTCCATTCACAATTCCTCTCCGCACTGCTCGGTCTTGCCTTGCCGTACCCAGATCCCAACCTTGAGTTCAGAGCCATGGTGTCTTGGAAATCAACTATTCTACCTTTCTCTCTGTCTTTGTTTTATTTCTCTCTCTCTCTCTATCTATTTATCTCTATTTCTTTGGGGAATATCTCTCTTTGAAATAATTCTCTCTCTCTCTCTCTCTCTTCTGTCTCTTATTCTCTTTTAAATTCTCTACGAAAATTAAAAAAAAATTTCTTTTCTCTACTTTTTTTTTACCTCTCTCTTTTCTTCTCTTGCCTTCTCTCTCTCTCTCTTTCTCACAACTCTCTGGAAAATCTCTGTAAAATCTCTCTCTCTCTCTGTTCTCTTTTCTCTCTCTTAGATAAAATCTCTTCTTTAAAAATTTATATTCCCTTTTTATCTCTTTACTCTCTTTCTCTGGTAACGGTTTCTCTCTTCTCACTTTTCTTTCTTTTTAAAATTCTCTCTCTAACGCCTCTGATCTCTATCTTTATATTCTATCTCTCTCTCTTCTTTCTAAATATTTTTAAGTATTTTGCTCTGTTCTCTACTATATCTCTTCTGATCTTATGTTCTCTCATTTCTCTTCATTCTATATATATTGTTCTTTTAGTTTTTATTTTTCTCTCTCTCTCTTCTCTTTCTGCATCTTTCTTTCATTAATCTATATTTATTTTATAATTTAAATTCATTTTTTTATCTCTCTCTCTCTTTCTTCTTACTTTTTGGCCCTCATCTCTCTCTTTCTGGTCCCTCATTTCTTCTTTTTTTCTCTCATTTCATTTCTCTTCTTTGGACCTCTCTCTCTCTCTCTTTATATCTTTCTTTTGATCTTCTTTCTATTTCTAGTTGCTTTCTCTCTCTTCTCTTTTTGATCTCGGTTTCTTCAGTCTGTTTTCCTCTCTATTTCCTTTCTCTCTTTTTGCATTTTTTAAATCTCTCTCTACTCTCTTTATGGATTTTCTCGGTCTGTTCCCTTTTTGTTTTTTTTCTCTCTTTCTTTTTGTCCTTCCTGTCTAACTTTTGTCTCTCTATTTCTCTAAGGAATATCTTTTTTCTCTCTCTGTTCTATCTTTTACAAATTTCTCTCTCTCTCTCTTTCTGCTCTTTCTCGGTCTGTTCTCTACTTTCCTTCTTTTAAAATTCTTTTTCTCTTGCCCCTAAATCTCTTTTTTCCTCTGGCTAGTTTCTTATCTCATTCTCTTCTCACATGTTCTGTAATCTTCTCTGTTTTTCTTTTTACTTTCAATATAAATTCTTTTCATTTTTTCTTTTTCTTTTTATCAAAAAAAAAAAAAAATTCTCTCTTTCTCTCTAAAAATTTTTCAAAACTCTGTTGTCTTCTTTAAAAAAAACATTCGTTCTCTATTTTATCGAGTTTTACCTTCTATGAAAGATAAATTTTGCTACTTCCCATCCCTCCAAAATAATTTTGAACCCTACCTGTCTCCCATTAGAATGCCTAATGCTCAACTCCACGAAAGCCCCTCTCTGCGCATGCTTGATCTCACGCTTCCGCTGACCTGAGACAGAACAAATACATTGAATCAATAGCTTCATCTAACGCAAGGAATGTTGGTTCTCTTTGTCGCTCCAGAAGGTTTTTCTCGCCCGAGTCCAACCTTCAAATCTATAAATCAACCATTCGCCCTTGCTTGGAATATTGCTGTCATATATGGTCTGGAGCCCCCTCTGTTCGTCTTAAGGTCCTCGACAAAATCCAGAGACGGATATACAATATGGCTGGCCCTGATCTGGCATCTCGTTTATAGTCGTTCTCTGTCTTTTCTACAAGTACTTTCACGGAAACTGCTCCGACGAGCTATTTTCGCTGGTTCCCAAACTGCATGAATTTAAACGTGCTACTAGGTTGGCATCTCGGTCCCACTCTTTCATTGCCGAAACGGTTAAATGTAGCCGTCTCTTCTACTCCAATAGCTTCATGTCTCACACTTCCGGTCTGGAGAACTCCCTTCCTCTTATTTGCTTCCCTGATAGCTATAATCGTCAGTTATTCAAATGCAATGTCAATCGACATCTCCAGATGCCTTGATCTAATCCCCCCCTTTCTGTTCATCCTTTCCTCTATCACGCCTCTTTACTCTTGCTCCTACTCTCTTTAACCCCTTGCGTGCTAGTGACTCTCCCGCCTGGATTGGCGTGAAATGCTTAAATTTAAAAACAAAAATACAAGAAATTCTGTCTAACAAAACAACCAAACCCCCCGATAATATATCTTTATATATTTATGTATAAATCTCTCACTTTGTTGTTATAATGTATGTCTGTATATTTTACTAACCATAAAAACAGGAATCATACAAGGCCCATCATAATATCGATGATCAATTCAACGATACTCTAATATCAGAAACAAAGTGAAAACTATTCCTAATAGCAGGTAAATTTGGATGTGTGTACATGTGTATACATGTGTGTGTTTATTTCAGATTGAGGCAGACACACATATTAACAAATATATCGGATTCTTTCTGTATACAAGTTAGCAAATAAAGGCAAGTTTCAGCCATGACTCTATACTGAAAATATGCACAGAGAGTTTATTGTTATGCGAGATAATCTATCTATCTAAACTGTTCATGATCTATGATAAACTATCATCGATCTCCGTGAGTATCTTTCTTTATCTGACAATTCGTTTAACTTCTTGTTATTTCTTTCTTCTTTATTTTTATTGCAGTGAATTTCTTCCTTTTTTCTTTCTTTCTTTTTTCATTCTTTCTTTCTTTCTTTCTTTCTCCATTATCTGTCTGTAATTCTACATCATTTTCTTTTTTTTCTTTCATTCTTTCATTCATTCTATCTTTCTTTCTTTCTTTAGTTATCTATCTATCTATCTATCTATCTCTCTGCCTACTCCTAGACATTTATATTCTTTCTTTCTTTCTTTCTTTCTTTCTTTCTTTCTTTCTTTCTTTCTTTCTTTCTTATCTATCTATCTATCTATCAATCTGCCTACAATTAAACATTTTCTATTCTTTTGAACAAAATGTTTCAATATTTTTTCTTTCTTTCTTTTTCTTTCTTTCTTTCTTTCTCGGGAGTCATTTTCTTTTTAATGTATTTTCGTAGAAAATTTTTCTTTTCTTTTTTCTTTCTTTCTTTCTTTTATTCTTTCTTTCTTTATCTATCTTCTATCTATCTATCTAGTCCTAGACATTTATATTCTTTTTTCCTTCCTTCTTTTTTTCTTTCTTTTTTTTTTCTATCTATCTATCTATCTTCTATCTATCTATCTTTGATCTATCTATCTATCCTCCAAGTCCCAGGTATTTCTTTCTTTCTTTCTTTCTTTCTTTCTTTCTTTCTTTCTTTTAATCATTTTATTTATTTATTTCTTATCTATCTATCTATCTATCTATCTATCTATCTATCTATCTATCTGTTTGTCTAGTTCTAGTCATTTATATTCTTTCTTTCTGTTTTCTTTCTTTATCGCGGTCGTTTTCTTTTTTTATTGATTTCTTTCTTTACCTAAGTTATTTTCTTTCTTTTTCTTCCTCTCCTTCTTTATTTGTTTCTTTCTTTCTTTATTTTTAAGTTTGTTCCTATGCGTCTTTCTCGCTAGCATTTTTCGTGAAATGAATTATTCAAAATGCTTGTCCTTTTTTAAACATTGGTTGGCGCTCAACTATTACGGCCATGTAGCCTCCATGAATACTAATGTTGTCACATGAATGCCTATTGACTATGCCAGACACGCCAATCATATGTGATATGCCGAAAAAACCCTCTTTGTTTGTTGATAGGAATGCCTGGGCAGATCAAATGAATTTATTCACGCATACACGCTTCCCCCCTCTCTCTCTTTCTCTCTCTTTCACTCTCTCTCTCTCTCTCTCTCTTTCTAACTCACAAACACACAGCGAAACCTTTGATAGATAATAAATAAATTTAGTTCTCTAGGTAGTTTAATAGATGTGAATAAACTAAAATAGATGATTATATATATATATATATATATATATATATATGTATGTAGGACTCTCTTAATGTATGAAGATCAAGCAGCTCAGTTCTTAGAACCTGATATATCATTTGATTATAGTGGTAAGAACTTTTGTAAAAAACCTTTTTTTTGGAAGAGCCCAATACAGTATCAAGGCCCAAAGCGATATATATATATATATATATATATATATATATATATATATATATATATATATATAATATAGAAAAGAGAGAGAATTAGAAAATTAAAAAAGAGAGAAAAAGATATAGATATATATTTAAAATTAAAAATATTATTTTTTTTTCCTTACATTGAGCTCTTTTTAAGATTACTGTTTTCTGGTTCTACTTCAACTCTGACGCCATACATATATATATATATATATATATATATATATATATATATATATATATATATATATATATATATATATATATATATATATATATATATATTAAAAATTTATTATCTGGGAAAAATTGAAAAAAAAAAAAAAAAAAATTGAAAAACATTGGAATAAGCCGAAAAAGTCGCCCATTTCGTAATTTGTAGTCCAAAGAAAAAGAAAACTAATCGAGTAAAATAAGAAAAAAAATCGTCAAGTGCTCAATACACTAAGTAGAACAGAGAATTAAAAAAGGATTTCATATATATATATATATATATATATATGTGTGTGTGTGTGTGTGTGTGTGTGTGTGTGTGTGTGTGTGTGTGTGTGTGCCGCGCCAGGACAATTTTTCTCCCCGGAGTCAATCCTTCAAATCTACAAATCAACCATTCGCTCTTGCATGGAGTATTGCTACCATATATGGTCTGGAGCCCCTTCTGTTTGCCTCGGTGTTCTTGAAAAATCCAGAGACAGATATGCAATATAATTGGCCCTGATCTGGCATCTCGTCTACAGTCACTCTCTCACAGACGCGCCGTCGCCTTTCTCTGTCTGTTTTTCAAATATTTTCATGGCAATTGCTCCGAGGAGCTGCATTCGCTGGTTCCCAGACTTCATGAATTCAAGCGCCCTACGAGGCTGGCATCCCGCTCTCACCCTTTCACTGTCAAAACTACTAAATGTAGCCGTCTCTTCTACTCCAATAGCTTCATGTCTCGCACCTCTCGCCTGTGGAACTCCCTTCCCTATTCCAGTTTCCCTGAGAGCTATAATCTCCAACTATTCAAATGTAATGTCAATCGACATCTCCAGTTGCCTTGATCTATCCACTATCCTTCTCCTCATCCTTTCCTCTATCACTCCTATCTGATCTTGCTCCAAATCTTCTGTAACCCCTTGCGTCCTAGTGGCTTCCCGCCTTGCTTGGGTGAAACGTTAAAAAATATATATATATATATATATATATATATATATGAAATGGCCAAAGTCCACAATTAGATATTTTAATATATTTATTGTTTGTAATTTTCATTTTTATAGATACGAATATTTAAGTAAAAAAAATTCTGTTTATAATAAACAGTATTAACAAATGTTACCGGCCTGAATGTCCGCGAAATTTTCAAAAAAATATTACTCCTCCGACAGGAATCGAAACTCTATCCTATATGGAACCGTCATATAGCCTGACGTGCAAAACCGAAAAAAGCATTGTTTTGTTAAAGGTCCGTTATCTCTTGAAATCAATTTTTTTCTGTTTATATGTTATTTTTTATAGATGCAAACATTTAAGCATAATAAACAGTATTAACAACATTTACCGGCAAGAATGTCCAGACGCTTCCTCTGTAGCTAACTGGTATAGCACGTCAACTTATATGACGTTTCCGTGTTGGATGCAGGTTCGATTCCTGTCAGAGGACACATATTTTCTATGACATTTCTCGGACATTCATGCCGGTAAATGTTGTTAATACTGTTTATTATAAGACAGAGCATTTACTTAAATAGTTGTATCTATAAAAATAACGTATAAACATAAATATTGTGATAATATATGTATTATAAAGTAATTGTCGAGCTTAGTCCATTTCATAATGGTAACCCCTTTAAATGTAACGGTAAAAGGAAACAAAAACTTTTGAAAACCACAATTTTAAAATAATTATATCAGCGCGTCCACGCGTGTTTACAAAAATCAACATCACAATGACCACAGTTACATTAAGTTTGTCTTCGCAATTCACCACGGAAGAGATCGAAAGGACTTGGGTTAACAAGAACTAAACGCCTTTTTTATAAATTTGCCAACTTAACATCAAAATTCTATTCTATATATACATTTTATATATATATATATATATATATATATATATATATATATATATATATATATATATATTCTGCCGTTTAAATAAGAACAAGAAATAAAATAACTCCATGGATGCCTTTCAATATGCAAATTTTATTTATTTGTAACATTTTTAAAAGCCTAAAATAAAACCGAATGTTTATAGAAATATTCATGAACGGCTTTTTTTTATGTAGAAATAGGAAAACAGGTTTTCACTAAAGACAATCATTATTTAATGACACTAATTATTGTTGTGTTGATGAGCTTGGGTTGGAAGCTAATGAATCAAAATGTTTTAAAATAATCAGGGGTACGATTCACGCGGAAATTTGGCGCAGCACATTCAGCGTGCGGGACTTGACAACAGTTTGATTGTCGATAAGTGGGAATGGAAGAAGAAAAAAGACGAACTTATTAAAATAGAGGTAAAATATTACGTTAACAGATATACCTTTTTTTTTCTTTTTCATAAATTATATATATATATATATATATATATATATATATATATATATATATATATATATAAATTTAATTGATTTAAAATATATAAATTGATTTAAAATATTATAAATAATTGATTTAAACCATATTTTAAATCAATTAATTTATAATATTAATGCTCTTCAAATTTACATTGAGCACTATTTTGTAAAAAAAAAATATCTATGAGAACACCGGATTTTATATCTTACTGTTCTTTCTTTATATATATATATATATATATATATATATATATATATATATATATATATGTATGTATGTGTGTGTGTATATATATATATATATATATATATAGAGAGAGGGAGAGAGAGAAATTGACAGAGAGATGGAGAGAGAGATTTGTTGAGAGAGAGAGAGAGAGATAGAAAAATATGAATAGACTGAAATAGATTTGTGTAAATAGACGGAGACTGACAAGCAGATAGATACATAGATACATATGACATAGATAGATAAAAATGTACACATTAAAATGAAATATATATATATATATATATATATATATATATATATATATCTGATAGATAGATATATAGATAGATAGATAAAATGAGAATTGATACCATGCAAAATACAGAGGTACCCAAAAATGGTCAAGATAGATAAATAGATAGATAGATATGAATTAGCTGAGATATATATGAATAAACAGAGATAGATAGATAGATAAAGAAAGAGAGATAGATAGAGAAAGTGACAAAATGCTCATTCAATAGATAGATTGATAGATATACAGGAATTAGCTGAGATAGATATGAATAAAAATACAGATAGATAGTTTGTGAGATATAAGTTTTGTTAAAGAAAAAAAAAAATCTCTGTCGTTTTAACGTTATATTCTTAGTTTTATATATATATATATATATATATATATATATATATATATATATTATAATTTGAAATAGATATTATTTGCTCTAGTCGGTACTGAGCACAATTTTAAAACTTGTTTTTTGGTTATCAGGATTATATTCCATCCTTACCAACCCTGTACTTGCATATCTATCTATCTATCTATCTATCTATCTATATATATATATATATATATATATATATATATATATATATATATATATATCGTTTCATGTAGAGATATTTGTTTAGCTTAGGTTTCTATCTTTCTTTATATTAGCTCTTTATTATTATTGAACACTTTCCACTAATCCCATTTTATATATATATATATATATATATATATATATATATATATATACACACAACACACACACACAAATTATTCGATAATATATATATATATATATATAATAATTTAAAAGATATTTTAAATATTTAACGTTGTTTTATTTTTAACAACGTTAAAAAACAAAAATGAATTTTTTAAATAAATTGTCGGACCCTGTCCATTTCTTAACATATATATATACACACACACACAGATATATATATGGATATATATATATATATATATATATATATATATATATATATATATATATATAGTTCGATTGATGGGATTTTGTAACCTAGGTGTCACTGAGTTGTGCGATCGTCAAATGAGAGCGTGATGTTCTGTTTTGATGTGAGTTTCTGAAAGAATGATTAAAAACTTACATCAATCCAAAGAAATATAAAATATATATATATATATATATATATATATATATATATATATATATATATATATATATATACTATCGACCATAGCGTTGACTGAAAAATTCAAAAACCGTAGGACTCATACAGCAATCTCTATCACTTGACTTTTTTTTATTTTTTAATCCTTCCTTGCCTTTTTAAACGAAATATTTATTTGCTGATGTTGCTACATAACCCGATTTCTTGCCTATCTCACACTGCGAATTTTTTCTAAATGGATACTAAACATTTATATCTGTTACGAAAAAGAACTAAACAAAAAAACACAAAACGATCAGCTTTTTAAAAAGGACTCGTAACTGGAAAAATCGAATGAAAAAAAAAATGTTAACAACAAATACTTTTTTTCACACTTTATGTTTTTCTGCGGAATCGAATCAACGTTGAGTTTAAATTAGTAGCCAGAATGAGCCAATTGGAGTAAATTGCCATGCAAAAATTTAAATTTTTTTTAACTTATATGGTTTTAAATAATGCAGCTATCGATTTTTTTTTGCATGCTAGCATGCTAGTTAAATTCGTATTAATCAGT